ATCACTATTGGTGTGGTGGCCATTACTGTCCTAAATGCCCATGTTCGTCGTTCAATGTCTCATTCTGCTACCCCATTTGCTTTCTCGGGTGCTGAGGAGTATAGTGGTTCTCCTGCAAATGATCCTAACTATGGCAAGCTTGTTATGTTTTCTGGTGATGCTGGTTTTGATGATGGGGCAAATAATCTCCTAAACAAAGATAGTATAATAGGTCGTGGTGGATTTGGAATTGTTTATCACACTGTCCTTCTAGATGGGAATTCTGTTGCAATCAAGAAGCTTACAGTCTCTGGATTGATCAAGTCACAAGAAGACTTTGAGAGGGAAGTGAAAAATCTTGCGACAATCAAACACCAGAATCTTGTGGGACTTAAAGGGTATTACTGGACTTCATCCTTGCAGCTCCTTATTTATGAGTATCTGTCCAGAGGGAGTCTGCATAAGCTTCTACATGAAGAAGATGAGCATAGCAGCAACATGCTTTCATGGCAACAAAGGTTCAAGATTGTTCTTGGAATGGCAAAAGGGTTGGCCCATTTGCATCAAATGAATATAATTCACTACAATCTAAAATCAACAAATGTTTTGATTGATTGCTCTGGTGAGCCAAAAATAGGAGATTTTGGCCTGGTGAGGCTGCTGCCAGTGCTAGACCATTGTCTTTTGAGCAGCAAAATTCAAAGTGCACTTGGTTATATGGCCCCTGAGTTTGCATGTCGGACAGTGAAGTTAACTGAGAAATGTGATGTGTATGGTTTTGGGATCCTGGTTCTTGAGGTGGTGACTGGGAAAAGACCAGTAGAATACATGGAGGATGATGTGGTAGTTCTGTGTGATATGGTAAGGGGAGCATTGGAGGAAGGCAGGGTGGAGCAATGCGTGGACAGGAGGCTTCTGGGTAATTTTGCCGCTGAGGAAGCAATTCCCGTCATAAAATTAGGATTAATTTGTGCATCACAAGTGCCTTCAAACCGCCCAGATATGGCCGAGGCAGTTAGTATATTAGAGTTGATCCAATGCCCTTCAGAAGGACAAGAGGAATTAGAATGAGTTTATAGTTGTAGTATTGAGAAACATTATATACTGCAATAACTGGTGAAGAACAATCCAGTTTTCTTACCCTAAAAAGCTCAACAAGCAAGAATGTTTGTCATTTTCTTTCCTGAACTGTAGGTCTGGTTATTTTCCCTGTTTTGTTTGTTCAGCTACGTTGTATTACTGGATTATTCTTCACCAGCTTTATGTCGTCTTCATCACACTCCTTTCCCGAGTACTGATTGCGGTTGCTGAACTCGAGAGTTTGTTGCATTTGATAGTTTTCTTTTGAGAAACTATTGTTAATTGTATATTCCTGTGTATGTCAAGTCATAGGAATTCTCAAATGCGTGTCATGTACCCCACCACTTGAAATACTAACTTTCATAATTTTTCTTTGAATCATTGCTCAGTATGCATATCAGGATTCAAGTTTCCGTCTCACATGGTGTTATGAGATGAGGCATCGAAAGTGGGAGACACGAGAGGAGGGGGGGAAAGAAAGAATAGTAGACAAAGGAAATGGAGCCTTTACTTTTGCTTTCCAGGAAAGCGAACGAGAGATTCACAGCATTAAACCAAAATAAAAGGTGGGGCGTAGAAGTAAGTGGACGAAATGAAAGCACATGAGAATGAGATAACCAGCAAAGAAATCAACACAAAATATAAAATTCATATTAAATCTCGATATTCGTGTACTATAATTCATTTTAAACTCAATACTAACATGTAAATACTAAAAGAGCAAAGAAAAGTGTACTCTTGCTTTTGCTAACGCTTAGAAATGCAGTGATAGCTAAGATAATTAATGCTTGGATTAGAAGTAAAAAAAATGGAATGATTTGGGTAGAGTAATTAATAAAAGGGAGCAAGGGAGCATGAGATCCGATTTGAGAGACATCATCATTCTTAAAAGCACCGCCAACTAACAAGCTTTTACAAATGCCAACATTTGCCAGTCCAAAAAAAACAAAGCCAACATTTGGCGCCCTGCATTCCAATACAATCAATCATGACTAGTTCCGCATGCCTTCCAGCCAACTTTTCATTTTGCCATAGGCCAATTAGATTTAGAAAAAAAAAAACAAATAAAGACCCTCAATGTGTGAAATTACAATTTGAGACCCTCAATTTGAAAAATGACAAATAAAGACCTGGCCTCATATTGTAATGATGAAATCTTAGTAAAATATCTAAAATAGTCATAAGTCAAGTTGTGATTTGCTCTACTGAAATTTTTATTCACTAAAATAAACTTGTCATTTCTCATAGTCAATATGTCATTTGGCATACTCTTAGTCAAGTTGTGATTTGGTCTACTGAAGGTGTCATTCGCTAAAGTGAACTTGTCATTTCTCATAGTCAACTTGTCACTTAACTAAGGGGCATTTCAGACATTTCACTAGGATTTCATATTTGTAATATAGAATTGGGTCTTTATTTGCTATTTTTTTAAATTGAGAGTCTCAAATCGCAATTTTATATATTAGGGATCTTTATTTGTTATTTTTTTTTCTTAAGTTTATTATAAAGAAATTTCCAAGTCCGTGGCCTATTCATCTACAATAACGGTGACAAAAAAGTAAAACATGCTTAGATTAGATGACACAAAAGGACGTCCAAACCGATGAGATACACACACACACATATAGGGACATGGTACTTGTTTTTTTTTTGGCCAAAAGGGACATGGTACTTGTTGATTCGGCTTTAAATAGTAGTAGAAGGGGTGAGGTGGGAGATCAATGAACTTTGCTAAACGTACTAGTAAGAAAAGAATAGAGGAGGGTGAAGTTAGTAGAATAAGGTGGAGACAAAATGATTGAAGGCATATTATTTATGGAGCCTTGCACGGCATTGCAGCATCAACAAGACAACAACCTCACACTTCGGCCTTTTCGCTTAATTAGTAATTACTGTCTGCGCACGCCTACGGTAACCAAATAATTATGAGGCTAACACCCACTTCCCTACATACCCATCTCATTTAAATTTTACTGAAATTTACTACTCGTGCTATTACAGATTCCATATTTCAATTTCAACCACTGCAGTGTACTACCATTGAATTGACGTCCAATCCTCTCACCCAAGCACCTCAAATTGTAATTTTCAAGTTTACGTCTCGGCCTTGCTTCTAACCATCTGACCATGCTCGCCTGCCTCGCTTCAGGTTCAAGGCATAAATAAAGCGGCTCACCTGAATATTCTTTGAAAAAAATGCCTATATTTTATTTGTATAGCTGTTCTTAAAATTTCTAACGAGTACTTAACAAATTTCAATAAAAAGTTGGGAAAATCACTACGTAGTTCGAATAAAAGCATAGTCTTGTAACAAGGTATACGGTAGAAAATGACAATAAAATTCATGTTGTTTACTTGTTCTTTATATATATATTTATATTCCTTCGGCCCTTCAACGTAAAGGGGCTTTAGACTAAATTATCTTCAATCTGCCTCTGAAGAAAACAAAATGCTAGATCCTGCTACCCATCCCGTCCAGTTACATGGAAGAGAAAGAAAAGGGGGGGGGGTTGTTCAGAGATTGAGATTCTCGAGCTGAGAGCAGAGAGTCACTCTCCGTTATTGAGTCCCAAGTGCTTGCACACAAGGTTTTTACATGCTAAATAATACTCCTCCTATCCTAAATATAAAACTTATTTTTTAATATAATTTAGTGAGTGTTATATTTAGAGCTAGAACTAAAAGAGTATAAAACATAACTAAATGCCCACAAATTGCAATCTATACATCTACTGTCATATGATGTTTCTTCTTATGTATGTTAGCAATACTTTGAAATTACGGGTGTTCACGGGACGGTATTGGGACAAACCCGTCCTAGTGAACAGGGATGGGATGGCTTTTCCATCTCATGTCCAGTCCCGTCCTTAAGGCATCCTGGTCCCAAACGGGACGGGACGGGACAAGACAGGGACAGTACTAGGACATCCCGTCCAGTTTTCTTAAAAAAAAAAATTAAAAGAGTTACTTGGGCTAAATAAAAAAGAGATTTTGCACCAAATAGAAAGAAAGAAAGCCCCATGAAATTTTTGCTCAAGATAAAATTATTAAGAAATAATAGTAGATATGTGAAACTTAAGGAGGGGGACATATTCTTCAACTCTGGATTTTTGAAGTCATAAGCAACTCTCCATGTATTTGAATAGAAATTGGGAAAAAAAAAAACACAACAATATAGTGACATATACGTCAAAATGGTTTAGGACACAAATCTAAAGAAACCATTTTTTCTATTATATGAACACAATTAGCTAATTAAACACTCAAATGTTCAGGTAAAATGAAGGTGATTAAAAATAAAAAATAAAAAACACCCAAAAATATCGTATCCTGAATTATCATAAGAACAAGATGCATGCAAGCCTGAAAAACAACAAGCATGAGTGCTACCAAATCCATTCTATCTACAAAATGTCACCAATTAAATAAAAAAATAAAACAGATAAATTAAGAAACAAGAGTTTTGGAGTAAAATATTATGAGTGTTTAAAAATAAAATAAACTTATTTTTTTTTTAAAAAAAATACTGGGATCACTTCCCGTCCCATATCTGAACGATTTTTGTCTTGGTTTTGTCCCGTTCTGTCTCAAAATGGTTGGGATGGGACAAAACACTTTGAACACCGCTATTTTGGATTGACGTTTAATCTGCATATCACCAAATTTGTATATATACTGTCATTAATTATTAATCGAATTTTGGATGAAGGTCCAAGAAAAGAGTTCACTGAATTATGACATGATCATAGCAACAACGCACTATCTGAATGTATTAAGGATGAAATCGGCACACGCAGCTTCTATCTCGGCTCATTTTGGCGGAACAACACGTGGGAGAGTCATCCAACAGGGGCACGACACGAGGAATCCAAATTAAACCCAAAACTTTAAGAAGCGACAACACGACTTAACACGAATATACATGTTACCTACCTCCTGTAGTTCATCTACACAGTCCTTTTTCCTCAGGTCGAGGCATTACCTAAACGTTCAATTAAACTCGAACTAAACCACCAAAAGAAAAAAAATCAAATGTGTGAAAACTATAATATTTCTTTTTCCTTCTTCTCTATATTTATTGTGACGCCTAGCAAGTAATGCCCCACCACAACAAAATTCGTCACGTCCCTCCAGAGTTGGGATCGCACTTGATTTCTGCACCCCCATCTGTTAAGTCAACTTCTATAACCTTGCTTCATTTGACTGTAAATTACTAATCATCCCAATCGTTCTCCCATCCATCTCTGTTAGACGATCTAGCAGTAAGGCCGTTTGCTGAGATGCTTCCTGCATGAGGTCTCCCAGGTGATTTCACAGCAACATCTTCATCCCAATTATCATCCCAATCCTGATCCCAACCTTCGCCTATCTCCACATTAGTAGCTGAAACGGACTCAGGCAATGCCATTTCAAGCTCTTGATATGGTACCCCATCATGCCGCTTCTTCCTAAACTTGCAGCAAGCCCACGTCCCGCCAAATATTAAAACTGCTACGATGAGGAAGTACGCGCCATTTACTGGTGTTAAAACTTTCTCATAAGAAGGAAGACGGAAGAAAATCCCCTCTTCAGGGACAGGAGTACCCAAGTGAAGCACACATTCCCCCTTTCCAGCATTTAAAGCCAGTTTAGTTGTTTCACTGCTAGTTACTGAGACATTGATCTGAAACAGAACAGTACAAAAAGCGTAAAGCGGTGGCATATGAAAATGAATCCTACAGACAGTAAAAGTGATTCCTTGGTCATCAATTCCTTCACCAAATCCTTTTGTGGCATCTTCTTGAGATGTTCGATGATAATTTCAAACAGAAGATAACTTTGCTAGTATTGCTGTAACCAACACTATCAGCCTTTCGGTTTCCAATTTAAAGGGAATCCAAAATAATGCCGAGCTTCGTTTTGTAACGCAAGTCTCACAAAATAATCAAGACATGTGAGTTTAGCTTCTATTTGAAGAGTTATAGAGGGGGAATAAGGGAAAAAAAATACCTTGATAAATAAATTATTACTGCAAATAACATAAATGCATTCAGTGCAGTATAAATAACTGCGATCTACCTTTTTGTTTTGATGCTCTGCTACTTCAATGTCTCCTCCAATATTACCTTCCATAAAAAACTTCACTTTGACGATGCTATCCCCTCCATTTTGAACAATTAAAACCACGTATTTGGACTCTGGTCATTTGTATTAATAACATAAAGGCATGTGAGTTCATGTTGTTATTTTATTCTTTTCCAAATCTAAATTATTAATCAACAAACAAAATACAATATAGAACTTAAAGTGATGCAGACAGCACTAGTGCTTACTTTGTTGCTATAAATGATAACCAAGAGTGAAAGCATGCAAATACACATAAACGGTCATAGTCCTGAAAGCCACCCCAGATCACACTGGCTGATCAATGGGTTGAACAAGGAAAAGCCAAACAAGTTCGATCTTATAGCGATTAATATATTAAACACCAGTGTGATCATTTTATAATAGTCCTAACAAGGATGGCTGACAGGAGAACTGATCTCACCTCAAAGGGGAGAAGAGGCTTCACTATCTTGTAGGAGCAAATACTTGAGACAGGCAGGGGGGGCTAGTAGACCATTACCAAAGTTTGGTAACAGCCAAACAAATTCTTTGGTACATTTAAATAAAAATGGTTTTAGTAAATACTAGATTTTACATTTATGATATAATCTTTCTATGGAATTTGTAAATGCTTTTCACCAAGAAAAGGGAGGGGGGGGGGGGGAATTTGTAAATGCTGATAGATATTAAAACTCCCTCACACGTCATGCATAAGTGTAGATAACGCGTTTCAGTCATGAAGAAAACATTACCATGCATTGTTACGACATGAAATAGACACAGTCAATCACAACCATCTCTCTACCCAAAATGGTCGAAGTCTCATGAAAATATCATTAAAATAACAAATAAAATGCTTCAACATGCCCTCTATTTCTGAGACCTAAAAAAACCTCCCTTGCATTCTTTAGGCATACATGTGCTGAACATAACTCCGACTCGTGTTAAGAAAATTCAAACACAATTGTCAAAAAGTATACCCCTAAATGACACACAAGCCTGTTTCCAAGACACAAAAGAAATGCACCAAACCTATTCTCATTGAACTTTTAGAAATTAATATGACCATAATGAACATCACTAATAAAAGTAGTTCAAAATCAACAATGTCAAATCCTTAACATGCAATAGTCATCCCCGACAATTTTGTACAGCAGAAGTTTTTTTGAAGTATCACTAAGCAAGTAAATGTACCCAAAAAAAAAAAAAAAACCATCTTTCATCATTTCTTCTTTACTATCACTTTCATAACCTTTCATATCTTAGCTTACGCATCGCAGGAATGTGATTCATTCAGCTTTTGGAGTTCCTTTCTAGTTTATATCGTTTCACAGAGGAAGAAGACAAAGAAATAAATTTGGTAGCCACTCTGTTTTGCCATATCGGCTTTACCTAGCATTAGCATCAAGGTAGCCAAAGGCAAAAGGCGCCCTTAACACAAAGCCTCTAAAACGCCTAAGGTGAGATATGCTAGAAGAGCACGTGCATGAAAACATCAAGGTTCTAAAATAGAGGGGGGATGCAAAATTATAAAAAAAAAAAAAAAAAAAAAAGATCTACGTAGTTTGAAATAATATCATCATTGTATATTTAAGACTAAAATAAATCACTTTTGCACCTTTCCTTTTGATTTTGAAGCTGCGCATCTTAAAACATTTATACACCGGGTGCCATGGTATGGGGATAGCACTAGTTTGACATACGAATTTTGAAGAAGAAATGACATATCAAAGGTTGCATTGGACCATTTAGATTGTTATATAGTTTCTTAACTTATGAGTTGATTACTCCACATGAGTAAGATGCCGAAGGTGAGGCACACCCCAATAAGGCACTGAGGTGAGCCCCTTTAACTACATTGATTGCCGTTACCTTAAAATGACCTAAACAGGTACAAAGATCAAACAACTTGTCATGTGAACTAAAGAATTTACATGCAATTTCAGAGTGTTTAACGAGTTTAATCTTAAAGCGTGTATGTACAGTCATAAACTCAGGCCAGTCACATACAGACATATATATGCTTAAGTGAAGACTTATTATTTATCCCTTGTAGTAAATAATAAACAATGCTAAATGAAAGGAAGAATAGACCCATTTGCCTCAGCGAAATGATCAAAGCAAGACGGAATGAATTACCACTTTTAGAAATGCAAGCAACCATCTGTCCCTCATCTGTGCACTTAGCGCTCGAGCCATCACAATTCTCAGAGGTGTTGACCTGTGAGAAAGTTCGGCCATCGTTTTTCATTCCCTTTTCATCACTCTTGTGATAATTGCCTTTGGCTACAGGTGGTGGAGTTGCAGAAGTTGTATTATCGGATGTTTTCCCATTGTCCGTATTAGGTAAAGGAGATGGAACTGGGGAAACAGAATTGTTCTGACTCACTGGATTTACCTTCGGTGCAGTACTGGGGGAAGGAAGATCCGTTTTGTTGGTATTTCCAGATTTCCCGTTCGGCTTTGGATCAGGAGTTGGCGACGGAGAATCCTAAAGGCGGAAACTTAATTCATCCCTCGTCAATTTTACCAAAAAATAAAAAGAACAAGGAAGATTAAATCAAAAGGAGATAACATAAGATGGAGAAAAATGGAGAGATTTTTACATGTAGTCTATCGGTGGTGCCATTGACTTTTGGATCCGCGCCACCCAGTTTTCTGAATTCCCAACCCAGTGAAGGATGAGAACCACCGAACAAGATTAGCAAGAAGAATAAAATTCCCCATGATGCATTTCTGGCCATTAGTGATGGAACTCCACACCTCATAAACAAGCGTGAGACCGAAAATCTAACAAAAACATATATGGCTCTCTCTCTCTCTCTCTCTCTCTCTCTGAACCGTGTAAAACACGCCGAGTTCCTATGTGAAGGAAAGTGACGCGAAACTCATTCCGGGCAAATCACCGGCCGAGAAGGCAAGAGCAAGAATCGATTTCGATTCGACAAAGTTGAAAATTATGAGAAATCCAAACTCACAGTCAACGCAGAGAAGACATTGCAGAAATTAAAAACGGAAAGAAGCAGGGCATCGATCGAAACAAGAATAGTATTGGGATTGGGAATTATGATGAAACTGAAACGTGAAAATGGAAAGACTTGACGCCAAGTCTACTTCGAGCCTTCAACTCGTTCGGAGGGGGTGACCTCGGACGACACCGCAAGAAAAACGCGTTTTTGCCAATATGGGCCCATCAATAATTGGCAGAAAAAGACTAACCATCAGATTTGGGTTTAAGAAATGGGCCAACACCTTCAAACAGTGGCATGAAGGGTAGTTTTCAGCCCAGAGCCATAACTGAATACTACTATACAATAGCATAATAATAGGTGGTGGTTTTTTTTTTTTTAATTTTTGGGTGCCTTTCCAAAGGAATCCAAAATTTTTTTTTTGGGCCCCCGGGAGGGGCGTGGGAACGACAGGGTGCGTTCATATAAGCAAGAGCCATTAACACGACTTTGGCGTGAGTCAGGTGGAAAGGCTGCGACAGTGAATAATGTGAGGAAGCTTTTGAGGATTGTGACTAGGAATGGGGAGTCACAGCAGATTCTGGGGTTCAAGGGCTGAAACTTTGGCACTTGAGCAAGCTGAGAGTGGCTACTGGATGGAATAAAACTACCTCCAGTCTTAATTATAAGAGCTAGTTTACTAATTTGAGGAGATTAAGGAAATAAGTTAAGTTAGTTATCTGTAATAAATAGGTGTTATCTTTCCTAAAATATCCTTACTAATTAACTATGTTAATTAGAACTACCATTATTAAAAAAACTACCTTAGGAAAAAATACACAAATGTTAGAGACAAAATGAATTGTGGTATGATATTTAGAATTCAAATAAAAGTCAAACGATATCTTATATTAAAGATTGAAGGTAGAATTGGGATTTACATTGAGACAAAGAACAAGTGCAAGAGAGGGATGCCTCAAGGTGTGAGTGTCCTTGAAAATGCTTTCGGCATCATTAGGTCCCTACAGAACGTATCTTTTTCTTGCTGAAATAGCAGTTTGCTTCCTGGGACTGTGGATTAGGTTTCTTGCCCAGTAAGCCCTCTGGCGGAAACAGAATCAGTCTTTCGTACTTATATTATTGTCTGTAGCTTTCTTGGCACGTAAGCCTCTTTAAAAGAGTAGGAAACATGATTTCTCTGAAGCAGAATCCAGAATAAAGCGTCCTTATGAATTTCATATGTTTGATCCCTGGCACTCACACCTTTATGTGCGTATGTGTGTGTCGATATGTGCCTCGTTCGTTTCTCTTCAAGGACACGGCCTCATCGCCAAATACGTTCAAAGTCTATGCCTTGTAAACCAAACAACGTGAGAATCTCCAAATACTATTATCCTAGTGCATCAGAAAATACAAACTATGAAGCTTCCAATCAAAGTGAGTTTCACGCATTTATACAAAAATTTGATAAATTCATAAATTGCACACAAGAAGAAAAAATGCAATTTTTATTCGTTTTTCATATTTGCATACTGCTTTATATAATGACCAAAAACTCTTTTGTTCCCTTTTTAGCCTGGGAGACAAAACTGTCAACCGCTATCAAGAAGGGATTGGAATTTGTGACTTTAAGGACAGTTTTAGATAGTACTACCTCGGTCTGCTTATAAGACCCAATTGACTAATTTGAAAAAATTAAAAAAATAAGTTAAGTTAGTTATTTATAATAAATAGGTGTTATCTTTCTTAAAATATCCTTACTAATCAATTGTATTGGCTAGAACTATTATTATTAGAAGGACTATCTTGAAAAAAATGTATAAATATGAGAAACAAATGGATTGGAGTCTTATATTTAAACCAAATAAAAGTTAAACAAGATTTTATATTAAGAATAGGATGTAGTAAAAATTATGATTTTCAAGAGGAGCATAAAGAGGTGTCAAAAAAGAAAACAAGGGTAAAAGGAGGAAGCAGTGACGATGAACGGTTGAATATTGAAGCGGCTTTATAGTTTCCCAATGATACTTTGCTTGATCAAGCACTCCTCAGATATCTCTCGATCAGTGTCTGCACCCCTTGGCTTAAAAAGCCTACAATGGTGCAATCACACGCAGCAATGGAGACATCGGCGGAGATTCGCAGGAGGTTCGGGGATGAACAGAGCAATCTGTTGGACCAGTTTGAGCGCATGTCCTTCGAGGCTCACCTCAATCGAGCCATGCTGGGCCGCAGCCTCTCCGAGCCCGGCCTCTCCCGCCTCTCCACTCTCCAGCCCCTCCTCACTCATCAGGTCAACCAGGGCCGCCGTCGCCGCCCTCGACGTGGCACCACCGCCTTCCACAAGCTCCTCAACAAATTGTTCAAACCCATTCTTCGACGGAACTCTAAACCAGAGTCTCCTCCTCCTCATCTTCATCCTCAGCATCCTTTGTCTTGCAAGACATTCAGCACTTCACTGCGCTTCTGATATCTCTCCTTTTCTCCTCCCTTAAACCGCCATTTTGGTCTTTTCCATCTCATCAATTAGTTTCTATTTGTTATGAGCAGAACCCCATACTATAGCCCTTTCACCGTAAATAATGTTACCCAGCTATGCATAGAATGATCCCTTGTATTCGCAAATTGCTGTCATGCGCATGTATGCAATTTCAATTATAAAACATACCAGTATTGATCGTGCACGTCCAAGATTTCATCTTCTTACACATAACTCTCACATTAACTAATTGAATTTCTAAGCACCACCCGGCGTGTCTTACATAATACCCGAGGATTTCTGTTATATTTCTCATTAAAGGCCCCCAACAGGAAAGCAGAGTTTCAATTGGATTAGTGTGATCAAGGTTTACAACTTTCACAGCAAGTATCCCCAAAAAGAGTCTTCTGAACTACGATCTCGTCAATTAACGCAATGAATCGCCTCTCAGTGATACGGCAAATGTGCATGCCAATTCGCGAAGCTTAATATGCATGAGCTACAAAGCCCTGCCTTGGCATTCAAGAAAAGACAAATCCTTGCAGGTTAACTACAAAATTTAGGGAAAACTTAAGCACGACTCATGTACTGCCCGTTCTTGTGTCCACCAATATTTCGTCACCCCTGTTTATGAAGAGTGGGACGTTCACAACAGCGCCAGTGTCAAGTGTTGCAGGCTTTGATCCGCCTGTCAATCAAATTTCATTTCCGAAGGGTTAGTCCCAGGCAGAGATTCCTTGAGAATATATATATATATATGTTGAATCTAAAAGAATAGCCACCGGTGAGTAAATCATGAATAAACAAACAAGTATGTGTATAGTAATCTCATTGTAAAATACCTGATATTCATATTTGCTCATTATTAAATAATCCTATTTGAAAGCTTTAATCTCAAGAGGAAGCTTTTCATAACTAAATGTGCTCTAAGATATCGAAGCACATCTCATGAAGGTAAAGTTAAGCCTCTTGAGGTAAAGCTTTCCACCGCATCCTCCTCTTTTCTCTATCATAACCATGTAAAACTAACGATTTTATTTAGCCTCAGAAGGAAATCTAAGAAAAAAGAGTACACAATTACATAGGACATCACAATTAACACTTTTTTCTTTCTTTTACTGATAAGTGATCATCAAATGAGAATCATCTGTAATTTGTTAGCAAATGATTTTTCATCTTCTTGTCACACTCAACTCGCCCATCTCCACATATTATGGCTGGAGTTTACCGCCTTCCATAATAGAAAATAAGTAGGAGTTGTAATATGAACAAAATAGCATCACCTTGCGCAGTGTCACCCTTAAGTCCTGGATCCACATCAACAACAGAGAGTTTTACCGTGATAGGAAGTTCAAGATCAATAACCTGCAACATCAAGAGGCCTTTTACTAAAACGAGTAATAGCAATGACAACATTTTTCTTGCCCACATCTGTACGTAACACTAGAAGGAGAAAAAAACCATTGTTGAAAAGATTCATAAGGATTCAGTTCGATATGCAAATAGTCTTGAATACACATTAACTCCTATGCATGACCAGTTTCCTCTGGCATGACAATATAAAATGCCATATGTTTTTGACCGCTTACTTATATTGATCAATTCAATAATATATTATCCAGTAACACGTAGTGATTAAGGCTACTTGTTTCTAGAACATAGCTCTTGATATTAGTCAAGTTTTTCATTCAGAAAAAGAGAAGCTCCAGTCGGTAAAAGACGGTTTACTTTTCCATTCCATAACAACAAATTGCAGTCCATTCCCTCTTTCAGCCATTTCTTCCTGTCTCCAACTTCTGATTCTGAGAGACGAATCTCCTCAAATGTATTCTAGAAAAATTAAAACGCTGCAAATTAGACATAGAACAAGACTAGGATGAAAAAGCGATAGCATTCTTGGGAAAGAATATAAACCTATGTGATAATTCTCCATCATAGGCAATGGTAATATTAAAAGCCAAAAGAAACTCTAAATACCTAGAATCAAAATATGGATTCCAGATAATACCAAGTCCATGAAGACAAATTGAGAACCGTCTTTTATATGTAACTGTTTCGTTTCCTTGAATACATCTGCTTCATCAAGCTATCAAAAGGGGGGTCAAGAAAAGATGTAAACCTCAATCTAGAATCAGGGGTAACAATGAGAAGCAAAGAGAGATGACTCTTGTAATACAAATGAAGGAACATATAATGGATATTTAGTGTTTCAACGAAAATGGAAATTTAGAATGAACAAGGTTAATGCTGCTTAATGAAACTTCATGTCCAGCAATCATCAAGAAAGCGGGAATTGCGGAATATTAAATAATATTTTACCTTAGGCCTCTGAAATTCAATGAAGTACAAGATATCTTGGTGCCAAGGGACACTTAAAATTGGTCTTTGAAGGAACCCTTATATAACAATGTCAAATATGATATTTCATATACGTGCATTCGCGGCTCTCATCTCATCATACTGTTCATGAGACAGTCCAAGGGAAGAGAGCACCTATGGACATACTTGTAATACATATATTTGTATCACATAGCCTCATCATTTGACTCTTCGCCACTGAGATCACTAATAAATCAGTTTATTCACCTAGGTGCTCTATAAATACCCCATTACTTTTTACTGGCATAAAGAATGAAACTATATGATGAGATGACAGCCTTGGGACATTAAGAGGACCCTCAGTCCGTCCTCCGACCATCTGCTTCCGAAGCTCACTATGCAAAGCATTGATATCTAAAGCATTGAATATCAAATCAATCATTAGCTTTAACAGGAACTGAGCTTTAACCTCTCCATTCCCAGTCGTTGAGTCACTTGGTCGTTGATTTGGATTGAGGCAAAAATCTTCTACTTTGACCAATAAGAAAAGCGACAAGAATAGCTATGTTTTTCAACGTTT